ACTGCTTCTTTCAGGAGGAATCAGAGGACAGTTTTTGTTACGTAACAGACTTTTCAGGCAGAGGAGGGGAGCGTCCGGCCCGGGCCATACAAGGCCCTCGAAATCCTGTGGCCTGGCCCTGCCAAGGCACGAGGGCGAGTGAGTGAAATGCTTGACCAAGCAGAGCAGGCTGGTTTATAGGGGATGGTTTGTGTGGCCTGAGAATGATGTTATAGACACCCACGGGGCCCTGGAAGAGAAAGGTACCCCCCTACCCCCCTCCCACCCCCGGTTTAATGCATGTATCTGAGAATCGACTTCGGAAGAAGAGCTGAGTTTCATGGACCTCGGTGCCTGACGCTCACAGGCATCTCACGTTGTTCCGCGTAAAGAGCCCCGCGTTGCCACCATGGCTGCCGGCTCCTCGAGGCCACTGTGCAGGCCCTGCCCTCCGAAGGGAAAATTCCCGATTGAGAGACACAACCCACCGACAACTAGCGAGCAAGGACCTGTGGCTTATTGTTAAAGGGCGATGAGAGAAGGCCATTCACTGGCGAGAGTGCCCGAGATGCAAAAGTTGCCTCATCACTTAGCTATTTTTCCGGATCTGGTCCAGAACCCAGCATAAGGGACAAGGGCAGCTCCAGGGGAGCGGTGTTGGCTTAAGTCGCTACTGTTGCCGACGGGGGGCTGTTTAAAGGGCCAGAAGGTTGAGAACCACCGTGCTATTCCGAGTGCTGCGTAGCGATGCCGCTCGCCCGTGGGATGCGGGCACTGAGTGTGATCTGCACCGTTTACCCCGCGGGGGGCACTGGCTCCCTCGCCTCACACTGGTGTGCGGAGCAAACCACCCCCCTCGGCAACAGTAACTATTTAAGCCAAGACAGCGGCCCTGTTCCCCCCCCCCCGCCCGCCCCCCGTGGGGAGGGCACTGTCCTGACACTTCCCTTCTCCTCGCTCACCTGGGGAGCCTTCGGGGCCTGGGGGTGTCCTGCGTGTCCTTTACGAAAGCTGTGTGGGAAACGCCATTTCGGAAACGCTGACTCCTGGGAAAACGTCTGCTAAATCATAACAAGGCGTTTCCCAGGGGCCTAGGAACAGGACTCCGATCTGAAAGCTGTTTTCTGTAAGGGCCCCGCTTTGTTTCCTCGGGATATTTTGTACCAAAAACTAGTCCGAGCAAAAACCAAGGTTTAAGCGTCGACCCCATGACAGACAGACACTGTCCTGAGACATGCACACGCCCTCCCGCTCCCGAGAGGAATCGCCCTGACGGTGCGGCGGGAGAAACTGAGGCAACATCAGACCACAGGAGCAGGTCTGATGCCAAAGCCCGCATTCCTGTCCCTGCTCCGCCCGACTTCCTCGGACTTGAGGAAGCGGAGGCCATGTTAGCTAACGAGCATGTCACACGCCTTCTCGTCTTCATGGACGTAGGCGCCCGCATCCAGTCCAGGGCTGGGACCAACTGGGCTGAGACCCATGATCTAATGCAGAGAATGAAGTCTGTCCCGAAACACTGGGGCGGACCAACCCAGACACCCACCGAGGCGGGGGCAGGGGGGGCAGGCGGTGCTAGGACTGCCTCTGGGTCTGCCTGGGGAGCGAGGACCCGGGAGCCTCCCAGGCCTGGGGCCGGACACGCTCTCTGCGCAGGAAGCTCCCGCCTCCCGGGGAGTCCGGACGCCATTGGGAAGGGGTCTGGGAAGCGGCCGAGCGCCCCGCGCCTTTCCTGTCGTTTCTTGGTGAAAGGGCCGCAGGCGATGCTGAGTGCCCCGCGCACGGCTGGGCCCCAGAATTCCCCACCTGCCGGGCGGGTTCTTTCTGAAGCCGCCTGCGTGTGTGAGAGATACAGTCTGTGTAGAAAGTGGGTTTCAGTACAAACCATAACCACAGAGGTAAACCTACGGTTCGCCGTAGGAGCTGACGCACAGGAAGTGTCTGGGCTGATGAGGAAACTTTCTGACTTTCCAGATGACAGAACAGAGGAAGCAGAAGCAGCGGATCGGCCTCCTGGGACACCCTCCGCACATGAACGCCAACCCCCAGCAGCCCGCGTGAGCGCCGGGGCGGCCGACTCGCCTCCCTGACCCCCGGCGTGGGGGCGGCGCGTCCCCACTCGCCCCGCGCGGCTCCGGCTGCGCCGAGGCGTCTGTAAATACTCCGTTTATACTGGATGTACATGATCGCTACTCTCGAGGTTGGATGTACGTATTGTAATTAGAATTGGCACCGTGACCTTTCATTTGTGCCAAAATATATTAAAAATGCCTTTTTTTGGAAAGGACTACAGAAAGCACCTGATTTGCACTTGAACCAGAGTATAGATTTAAAGCTATAGGACATGTATTTTGTATTTAAATCTAGAATAGCCAGTATTTATGTTTTTTATAAACTGTGCAATACGGTTACGCGATCACAGTGACTCTGTAGCCCCCCGAGCGTCCCGGAGGGAGCCCGCGTCGTAGGAGCTGGCGTGTTCATATTATGTGATAAATGTCTAACGATGCTGCTGCCAAAATGTAGTGCCGGGGCACGCAGGCCCGGGCGGCCGTGCCACGGAGGCTCCTGGGGGGACCCCGTTGGCCGTCACTGGTGGCGTCGGCGCCCCACGCCTCCCAAGCGGCAAGTCCGCCTTCGTTTTAAGAGGAGCAACTTCAGCTTCAAAGATCCTTTTAAGCTTCCAAATGGATCGTTTAAACTATTTCTTTGCCTAAGAGCTAAACTAGAGGCTCAGACGTTAGCTTGTGAAGTTAATAGACTTTCTTAAAGGGGTCAATGCATCCCGCTGGCCAATCGATGTCCGCTCCTGGCGAATGTGGGTGTCGCGCTGTAAAACACGCCAGCGATGGTCCCTAGATTATCTAGTCCCAACGGTAGGTGGTTTTCCCTTCTTCTGAACCTACGTGCTGCGGGAGCTGCGAGGTGTTGCCCACAGAGAGATGCAGGGGCTCGTCCGTGAGGGCTCCGCGCTGAACACTGACACGTGGTTCTTGTGAAAGAGCCTCGTTTGGGTTTTCTTTCTTTGTCACATGGATTCTCCTGTGGGTGGATGGAGAGTGTGAGAGGAGACTGTTGCTGAGTTTTGTACCTGGATCTCATTTTTCAAGAGACTCTTCTGCAAAAAAAAAGTTTTAAAAATGTGTTGAAAGCAGAGTTCCAGCGAGTGACGTCTGTAAATGCCTGTGTGAGGATAAATATTTAATAAACGATGCAGACCATGGAGTGGCTGCTGGTGGCTTCCTGCGGGGCGGGGCGGCGACGGCTGCTCCAGTGGTGGTTGGGGCGATTTAAGGTACAGCCGGTTGGGGACCAGGTGAGTCCGGAGCCACTTACCCACCTGTCCGTGCAGACGCTGCGGGGAGCGCAGTGACCGCCGCCGGGCGCCCAGGCCCTCGCACGCACTGGACCTCGGCGTGGCTGTCCTTCCTGGCCGTGGCCAGGGTCCTGCGAGCCTGAGGGTCTTAAAAAGCTCCCGCCCCGTCCAAGGGGGGGCCTGCCCCTCGTGCAGGCCGGGCTGGACTCGTGGAGCTTTCCCTGGGCTTTGGGAAATAACTGCCATTTCATCTTTAAACATCGAGTCAGTGTCCTTGGTCCGTTACCCGAGGTCCGAGGTCCAGGTGATTCTCGCTCGGCTGTTCTTCTGGAAAGGACGGCTGACCCGCTGCCGGGAGGCTGCCCTGCCGCCCGGTGTGGACGCCGCGGGGACATAAACGTACAGCGGGCGCTGATGTGAATGTGGGCGCTGCCGCGGCTCGGCCTCTGCAGCCACCACACGCAGTTTGCTTTCTGTGCCGGGGACTCACCCAGGTCTTCCCAGGGAGCTACGGAGTCTGCTCATCGGGAACCGGGTTACGGCCCTGACCCCCGCCGCTGTGGGCACGGACCACGCCTGCAGCCGGCTCCCCACACCGCGGCAGGGCGAGCCCAGCCCTTTGCCGGGGAGGGCACTGCCTCTGTGGGCAGCGCCTGGGTCGCGCAGGGAGGCCGGGGCAGTGAGGCGAGGCCTGCGGTTACTTTAAGGCGAATCATGAGACGTGCACCTGCCCATTGCGGAGACAGGGATTCAGGAAGATGAACTACAGAAGGGGCACCTGCACACAGAACAGGGTCGGGTTTTGCTGAAATGATGCTTTTACAGGTTTTAAAAAACAAAACGTGCTTGAAAGAGGCTTCAGTGCTAGGTGACAGTAAGCGTCAGCTTTAAGACAGGGATGGGAACAGGGGACTCCTGACAGCTCTGGCGACCAGCTCTGTCGCCAGCCACCAAGCAGAGAGAAACGTGGGTGTTGAGGCCGAGGAACTGGCCTGGCCCGGCTCCGAAGGAGCGCCTCCTGCTCGCTCCTCCCTCCCAGCCCTGCGGCCACACTGCCTGGCCTGGCGTTTCCAGCCCTTTCCTCAGGGCATCTACCCCTGAAAGTACTGGCTGTGAAGACTTTGTCAGGACCAAACACTGGCAGAGAGAAGCTCCTAAAATCTCTGTTTCACAAGCAAACCTCATGCAAACACCTCTGGCCTCGCTGCGTTTGTGAAAGCGGAGCTCCCCCGCGCGGAGGTGGCGCCCTCCCCGCGGAAACCCGCGGAGATGCTGGCGGGCAGGCTCCGCTCCCTCTTCCTTCTGCGCATCATTTGTTAACAAGCGCCTCGAAGGCTGGAAATCCCCATGAAGATTTCGATTTTACAGAAAGTACCCAAAATTCCACCACTTTTGCATCACAAAGGACTTGTTAGTTTTGAGTAAAATGCTGTGTGGTTTTTGTGGGTGGCTGCCGCTCAGGACCGCCGGGCCTCCCCGGGTATCGGCAGGGCCGCTGTGATGACGAGTGCGAACTGAGCCGATGGCGATTGTCCCAGCAAACATTTCCCCAGGAGCTGCGTGCTGAGCAATCCCCACCTGCAGGCTCGCTGGGGGCGCAGCTGGCGGTCAGGGGAGCACCAAACCCGCCCGTGCGGAGCCAAAGGCAGGTCTACTCGGCTCCAGACTCGGGACCTCCAGCTGCTCGCATTTCCAACTCCTTTGATAAAACAGATCCTAGCTCACTGTGTCTTACATTTAAAAAAACAAGAGCCGGCCAGCATGGCTCAGGGGCTGAGCATCGACCTATGAACCAGGAGCTCACGGTTCGATTCCTGGTCAGGACACATGCCCAGGTTGCGGGCTCCATACCCAGGGTAGGGCATGCAGGAGGCAGCCGATCCGTGATTCTCTCTCATCATGGATGCTTCTATCTCTCTCTCCCTCTCCCTTCCTCTTGGAAATCAATAAAAATATATTTTAAAAATAAAAATAAAAGCAAAACATGACCAGAGGAGAAACTGGCGATACTGAGAACGCTGTAAGGTCACAAAAGCATGTGAAAGAGAATCCTAACACCTCGCGGGGAAACTGCGAGCCGGAGCCCCTGCCGGAGAGAAGCGAGGTCCCCCCACCACAGAGGAAGCCTGCGGGGTGGGAGGAAACCCCCAGGCGAGTTCTGAGCAACAGCGAGTCCCACAACAGAAAGTGCGTGCGGGCAGGAACCGCGCCTGGAAACTCTGGGCCAGCGTTCCTGTTGCTGCCCCACCAAGGGTGGCGGGTCCCCTGCAAAGAACGAAACTTGAGACAATCCAGGAATCTAACCTGCTCGCTCTGGGCTCCGGAACGTAAGCAAGCTATTGAGTCGCCCTCCCACATGCCGGTCGGTGGTGGCGGCCCACACAGTCCTGTGGCCACTGCCTGTACAGTCCTCTGGGCGAAAACAAGTTTCGTGAGAAACCGGAACGAGGTTTTGGGTGCAAAGTGTTTGTCTCCTGTGGGCCCACGGGGCAGCTTGGAGGACTGGGGAGACCTGTGTCCTTTCTTTTTTCCTAAATATGTTTTTATTGACTTTTAGAGGGAGAGGGAGAGAAGCATGGATGAGAGCGAGACATCCATCGGCTGCCTCCCGCGCGCCCCACACTGGGGATCAAGCCCACAGCTGGGCATGTGCCCTGACCGGGAATCGAACCGGCGGCCCCGCCGTGCATGGGACCGCACTCGGCCAACTGAGCCACATCAGGCCCTGACTCAGAGCAGAGTCCCCCGTCCCTGTCGCTGTCCCCCCGCCTAAGAGGGCTCGTGAGGAAAGGCGATCCGTGTCACGGGTCTGGTTACACCCCACGCGTGTTACTTCCCGTTCCTCTGCATCACGGCCGTTTCCTTTTTCTCACGCCCGTCCACCGCGCTGCAGACCCTGCGTGACCAGCGCTGCTTTCTGTTCCTGCCCCGGGGCCCGTGTTCCTGCCGTGGGACCCGAAGTCCCCGTGCCTTCAGGGGGCACCGGGGTCATGTTAAATGGATCCCTAACGTCCGAAAACCGGCTCGTGGCTTCCATGTACTTGTTCTCACACTTGTGACCGGGGCTGAACTCAAAGGTGACTTCTGTTTTGTTTTTTTGTTATTTTTATTTTTTGTTAATCCTCAACCGAGGATATTTTTCCATTGATTTTTAGAGAGAGTAGAAGGGAGGGGGAGAGACAGAGAGAGAGACATCTACATGAGACAGACATCAACTGGCTGCCTCCTGCACACACCCTGACAGGGGCGACGGGGGCCGGGGATCGAGCTTACGTGCCCTTGACCAGAATCAAACCTGCTTCCCTTAGTCCATAGGCCGATGCTCTATCCACTGCACCACACTGGCCAGAACTGACTTCTGTCTAAAACGTGTCATGGAAAGACGTTTTCTCTTGGGGATGAGGATGGGGAGCTACCATTAGGCAGACGCTGCCTGGTCCTAACCTGGACTCTTCCGTTCAACATCCTGTGCACGCACCGCCCACGGCTCACAAGTCCTCGGCCCGAAGCCCCGGGCTCTCCATCGCTTCAAGGACCCTCAGGAGGTGCTCACCGCTGCCTGATGTTCCTTTCGATCCTCAACCCTGACGGCAGCCCAGTGCTCCTCTGCCCTCCGTCCACTCGGCGTCTCCCCTGGTATGGACACGGCCCCTCTACCCTGTCCGGGTGGTGTTTCAGCAGGCGCTGTGGAGAGCGCCGCTCACAGGCGAGGACCACACCCAGCAGGAGGCTATGGAAGTGCAGATGAGACTTCATGCTTCTGCCCTGCTTCCCTGCCCCGAGACAACTCTCCTCCAGCCTCACCCAGGGCCTCCCTCCTCCCCCCACCCCCACCCCCAAAACGAAATACAAGCTTCCCGTCAGCTTCAAGCACAGCCTGGAAATTAGAGTCTTTATCGTGCAGAGCGCTTTCAGCCCCAGGACCTAACCACTCCCAGCTAGATCGGCCCCTTGACCAAACCAAAACAAAAGAGAAAAGAGCCCGGCTCAGAGCAGCCGCCTTCCCAGCAGCTCTGCTCTCCCCGACGCCCCTCGCAGGGGAAGCCTCCATCTAGAAGGCGACATGGTGGCCAGACCAGAAGTCAGACCTGGGAGGCCAGGCCGACCGCGGGCCCACACGGCACCACCCTCTGGACGCCGTCCCTCGTCCCTCCCGGCGCCAGGTGCCAGGTGCCAGGCTGCCCGCGAGGGGCCGGGGCCTCCGCACGGCCCTGCCCGCCTGGCGGGGAGCATCCGCCTGGCGGGGAGAGCGCTGAGAGACGCAAAGGGAAGTGGGCACCTCCGGGTGGGGCTGCAACAGCTCGCTCACCGCGGCACCGCTCACCTGCAGTCCCTGCCGAGGAAAGGGGCTGCGTGCACTTTGGGGGGGAAGCCTCGCAGGCCCTCCCTTACTCTGGGGGGGGGCGTCTGAGCCAGCGAATCGGGGTCTTTCCTAAGGAAGGAGTAGCCAGCAGTGGCCCAAACGGAGGTGCATACAGAACAAGTGACCGTCCGTACTCTGCTGTGACTAACCGTCATCACAAGGCCTCCGGCTGCAGCAGCCCTGCTTCCCAACCCCAACCCTCCTGCCCATCCCCTCCAGCCCAGGGACCCCAATCTCCTTCCTTTCAAGTCGTACAGCAGCTAAAGATGACAATCCCCGTGAAAGCATCGCTTCAACCCCTTGAGCGCCTCCTCCCCGCGCTGTCTGCACCCCGCCCTCGGCTGACAGGCGGGAGGGCACCCCCTCTACGGCCTGTGGAGGAGCCTGGCCATCTCAGCTCCCCCTCACCCCCCACCCCCCGAGACGGAGCACCACTTGGGTGATTTAAGGAGAGTCTGGCCTTTGGGGATAAAGAATTATGATTCATTTACTTAGGAGCAGAGACAACGTGCAGGAATCTGAAAAGCATGATGTTCACACGTCACTGAAGTCAGATTCAAGAGGCTGCGTGAAGTGTCTCTCCGTGGACGTGGCAACCTGGACAAGGCGAGGGTGGGGCCAGAAACCCGATCGGAGACGGAGACGAGGGTCCGGAGCGGGGGTTTATTACGAAGGGACACTGGGGAGATGTTGACGATGGAAACATGTCCGTGGTTACCTGACTTTAGCAGGTTCTCAGACTTCATAGAACTGTAACCTAAAAAGGGGAAATTTCACTACATGCAAATGAGACTTCAGTAAACTTGACCTAAACTTTAGAGAGAGAGAGAGAGAGAGAGGAAGAAAGGGCCAGCCCCCGGATTTTGCATTTTAACCTGCAACCAGGGGATGCCGACCTGCTGACACACCGTTCTCCTTCCCTGCACCCTGTGGCCTGGGATTCATCTGTCGGAGCTGCGTGGGAGGTGAGGCAGACTGCCCGTGGGGAGTGAGGTGGGGCCAGCAGAGAGCCTGGGGCGGGGGGGGGGGGGGGATAGGATTCCGAAAAGCTTGTGTTTTAGAACTTGAAACGGCCCAGCCCTGAGGTCTATTGCTGCCTCACAAATAACCAAAAACGCGGGGGCCTCCCACCCTTCCGCTCGTCTGCCTCTGAACCGGGCTGGCTGGGCTGAGAGGAGACCCGGGGAGGGTCCCGTCTCTCGGCCTCTGTCAGTGGCTGGAGAGTCTGCTCCTGCCTCAAGGCCAGAAACGTCCCGCTGACCGATGCTTCTGCCGCCCTCCTTCCCTTAGCGGGACCCTCAGGACTCCATCAGTCCCATCACAACATCCGTAACATGATCACATCTGCGGCATTCCTGCTGCCACGGAAGGGGGCAGAGTCACAGGGTCGGGCATGAGGACAGGGACGCCTTCCGGAAGGCCACTCATCTGCCTGCCACAGATGCCCACGCAGACCCCAGGCCGACGGGTGGGCACAAGCCGAGCAAAACAAGCCACCTGCTGATCTGAATACACTCAGGAAAGTTGGCCTCTTACCCAAACAGGCCGCTGGTGTGACCCTACAACTTCACAGCCTGTCCCGTCAGACCTTGACCTTCGTCGCTGATACTCCTGAACAACCAGAAATATCTCTAAGAAAACATGTGTTTGCTGTTTTAGACAAACACAAATACACATGTCTTATTTTCCTTGTGAGAACAACACTTTAAAATTAAGACCAGGTGAAGTCCAAAACAAAACAAAAGCGAACCATAACCTTCCCAACCAGATAATCCTTGTTGATTAAAAAAAAAAAAAAAGCCAATGAACACGTGTGAGATTAGAAAATTCAAGTCATATGCCAGGCACAGCTCTTCTTTGGTGACGTGTCTAGTTGCTCACTTTATTTCTTTTATTAACGAATTTTAAGAGTTTTGTTTTTTATAATCCAGTTGCCAGTTTTTTTTATCAAATACACGTTTTGCAAATGTTTATATCCTGGTCTGTGGCTTATTTTTTTCACTTTCTTAGCAGAGCTTTTCAAAGACCAAACGTTTTTAATTTCTATGAAACTCAGTTTATCATTTTTTTCTTTTGTGGTTCATGTTTTTTGTGTCCTAAGAGATCTTTGCCTAACAAAAGTCCCAAAGATTTCCTCCTGTTTTCTTCTATGCTCCTACGGAGGGTGAAAATGTGCCATAACCCAAGCTAACCACTACACAGAAATGGCTCCCTCTGGGTTAAAACTGAGATGGGAGACCTGAGACTGTAAAACTCTAGGAAAACCCACAGGGAAACACTGCAAGAGCAACGATTCCTGCAACACGACACCAGAGGACAAGCTACAATAGCAAAAAATAGGTGAGTGGGGACTACGTCAGGCTGAAAAGCTTTCCCTCAATAGAGTGAAAAGGCAGCCCATGGAAAGAGGACATATTTGCAAATTGATACGGGGCTCCCATCCAGAATACGCAAGGCACCCCCACTATCCAACAGCAAAGCACAACCTTGTTAAAAATGGCCCAGAGCCCTGACTGGTGTGGCTCAGTGGATAGAGCGTCAGACTGCGGACTGAAGGGTCCCGGGTTCGATTCCGGTCAAGGGCACATGTCTGGGTTGCGGGCTCGATCTCCGGTGGGGGGGGGGCGTGCAGGAGGCAGCTGATCAATGATTCTCATCATTGATGTTTCTCTCTCTCTCTCTCTCTCTCTCTCTTCCTCTCTGAAATCAATAAAAAAATATTTTTAAAAAAATGGCAGAGAGATCTGAATAGGCACTTCTCCAAAGAAGAGATACAAATGGCCAACAGATAGAGGAAAAGATGCTCAGCATCACTAAACATCAGGGAGATGGAAGTCACCGCAACGAGATACCACTCACACCAACAAGGAGCTACGTGGGGACGGACCACTGGCCCAGGGGGCACGCAGCCCCGGGCACGTCCCTGAGACGCAAGGCGTCACACACACACTGTGCGGTCACGGGAGGTTTACACGGAGCCGGTCACATCCTGGCGAAGCGTGTTGTGTGAACACCAGCCCATAAACAGAAACCGCCGCCGAGCAACATCATGGGTTTATCCCTGATCCCGTGCCAGCGGCAGGTTCTTTCCAGAATGAGCAGCAGGGCGACTTACTCAACACTCTGCAGAAGCCAGGGCGCGGTCACCCTTCCCTAAATAATATCACAGATGGGTTTTCCCTGAACTCCTGCAGCAACAGGATCTCCAAGTGGTTACTGGTAGGAAAAGGTGAGGTGAAGGTCAAAGGCATGTCTACACCAATCAATCAATCACAGCTTTTCCGGACCACCCTCGCCACCATGCAGGCCGGGGTACCACTGAGACCAAAAATAAATAAAAATAAAAGGGAGGTGATGCAGCACAGAACACGAGTGTGTTTCAAGCTCTCAACACGGAGCCACGGAGGCCGTCGAAGATCACCTGCTCTGGCCAGCGCCCCTCCTAAGTACCGACACTTTCGTGCCAAGTTACGCCAGGACACTCACTGGCCGCCCCGATGCAGCTCCACCGCCATCCCGTCTCCATCATCGGAACGAATTCAGAAAAAGAGCAACGACACGCCTCCTGTCACCTTTCCGAAACACACCGACTCGCCCAGCCGGGGAAGGTAGGACTCCGAGGCCTGGAGGGCAGGGACACAGGAGTGTGTGCGTACAGCAGGAGTGACCGCCGGCCTTCCCCCTGGCGAGCCGAAGAGCAGAAAGGACCTCTGTCCTCGGGCCCCCCGCCCCGTCTGTGTCCACACCCCCCACAGCCCGGCTGCTCTGAAACCAGCACCTGTACCCCCAAGCCCGGGCCCCCGAAGCCTGTAACTAGGGCTATGAGCCCACCTGGCGCCAGGCAGGACGCTGGGCAGCCACACTCCCCTTCTAGGCCCCGATGAGTAGGCTGAGGCCCAGGCTCACACCGGCGGGGGCCAAGCCACCAGGGGGCCCATGGGGAGCCCTGGCACCAAACCATCCTGGCATCTGGGCACCGTCTCCCTGGGGAAAAGGGCGTGCGGGTGCTCACATACTCACTAGGCAGGGCGTGTTGTGACGTGAACGCTCCCCTCCTTGGCCACTCCGGCGGAGTGGGGAAACTGAGGCCTGGGCTCTGTGACCCCAGAGGTCACAGCCAGAGGTCACGGAGCCCCTGGCGGTGGAGACGGGCCTGGAAGGCTTGTCTTTTCTATTCTCCATGTCCGTGGTACTAGTGCCAGCGCCTCTGCAGGCTGGCCCGGCCCGAGGGCCCCCCCACCCCCGTGGGACCCCCCTGCCCTGGGGCCCGGGCGGGGACGCTCCCCTCCCGGAACGTTTTCCCGGCAGCAGCCCTGGTCGCCAGGGGAAACCGGCGGCCCGCCCGGGGCCCCGCCCGCCGCCAGTTGCAGGGCACCGCGCCAGGCTCCGCTGCCTGTTCCCAGGCGCTCCCTCCTCCACCTTCACCCCGGTGCCACCTCCGCCCTCTCCCTGCCCTGTGTGCGCCTGCGCGCCTGGCCCCGGAGCCCTGGGCCGGCCGCTCACGTGGGCCGCCGCACGGGCCCGGCCGCCGCCAATGGCAAGGCGGGGCCTCGCGCTCGCCACGCCCCCTCGGTGCCCCGCCCCCTCGAGGGACCTTCGCCTCGCGCATGCGCCTCCCGGTCCGGCCGACAGCCGCCGGCTCCTGCGTGGCCGCGTGCTGTGTGCACGTGCGCGCGGTGAGCCCGGCGGGGTCTGCACCTGCAGGAGGCGGCGGAGCCCGCGAGCTCTGTCTAGTGCAGGGGTTCTCAACCTTGGCTGCACAGTAGGATCACCTGGGAATCTTTTTAAAATCCTGATTTCTGGGCCTCATCCTCCGGAAAATTCTGTTTCTTTGTTATGGGGGCGGGGGCAGAACATTAGTAATAGATTACCCAGATCTTCCCGTCCCTGAAGGGCACAAATCAACAATCTATACAGATACTTGGGTGTTGCTTAATGCGTGTTCATGGTGCACAACACCGATTTATAACAAAACCCGGAAGCAACCAGCGATCAAGGGCGTCTAATTCTTTGTTCAGTCCCCCCCTGAAGAACATCTCGCCTCCTATAATGTTCACGTTCTTCGACAACCACCTCTCCCCTTTATC